ATTAAACAGCCTACAGTATTTTTACAGTCTTTATTTTACAGTTAAAATATATTTTTATCAAATAAAGTCCAATGTTACAACTAATCAGGGATCCCTTTAAAACTCAAATTATTTTCTGCTACTAGGTTCAATCTTGACTCAATTATCAGCTGCAATGTAAAAACAAACTGATTCCTCTGTCAAAGAGTGGATAAATAAGCTGCTTGTGAGTTTTTAAACAGGTCTGAGGAGGTAAAGGTAAAGTGAGCAAAAAGGAGGCAGGGTTAAATGTGGTGGGGTTTGTGCGTATCAACTCGGTGCAATAAAACACCGWAGGACTGACTCTCATAAGGAGCTGCACGTTGGAACAGGAAGCAGAGTTTTCTATGAAGCGAAGCTGCTCAGAGTCRTGCCATCACACCACAGAAGCAGAAACAGCATGGAGATGGAACTAAAAGTGTCCTCTGGAGAGGTCAGGAGTCAGTCGGGGCAGTAGAGTCTCGGGTCGCTGAGGTTTGGTTTCTTTTAGATGGGCAGCTGGAAGGTGATGTCCACTTGAGCTTCTTTAGCCAAAGACACAATTTCAGACAGCTTTACAACCTGAAACAGACAAAACAAACTCAATGTCCACAATAGATTAATAATCCAGGCTGAAGTCTAAGTAATGCAGCAGCGCTGATAACTAACCATTTTTGCAGCTTCATCCAGGTCGTCACAGGCCAAGATTTTTAATGGACTGGCTGCTATCAGAGCTTTGGCGTCGTCCACTCTTGTTCCTGAAGGCAGAAAAGATGCTTTAACTTCTTGATAGTGATGCAACACACACACAGCTGTGTTAGTGTGTTTTACAGCCGATCTGTGACATTCTGTAACAAGGACGTGGTTCTGTTTTGCAGACTTGATGACTATCCTGTTGTACTCAGCCTCCTAAACTCTCCTCTACAACACAAACGGTTCGATTTACTCAGCAAAAGTTCTCCTGGATTCACGAGAACCCAGCCGCTGAAGGGAAAGGAAGATGGGATTAAACTGTGAAGTGATGCTCCAGTCTGTGGTAGCTGGACTCCAGATATTCTTCACACACACACACACACACACACACACACACACACACACACACACACACACACACACAC